CCCTGGGGAGGAGAGGCTGCCCTCACAGATGGGGGAGGCCATCACCTGGCAGGGCCTCTGGCTCCTGGACACCCCGAACGCATCCGCACTCGGTCGCTTCCACTTTGTTGCAAACGCGGCTCAGGCACCGCTTGGACGTCATGTCCCACGGGGTCTGAAGTCTGGAATTCCATCTGCTGCAGTCCAGCACGACCACCTGCCCTGGTTGGGGTTTGGGGACACGTCCCACGGGAACTGAGGGACCAAGAAGTCCTGTCCCTTCAGTCCTTGGGTCTGTGTGGGAAGGCCTTGGCTTGTCCCAATACCCTGGGGCCTCCAGAACCTATCAGGCACAGCCCTGGCTGCCCCCCTGCTCAGCCATCGCAATGTCCTGCTGTTGGAATGACCCCGCGGACTGCAGGAGTGCCCGGGAGCAAGCGCGGGCTCTTTGCATTGATCCCGGCCCACGAGTCTCCCACACAGCAGGTACTCAAGTGCCTGGTGAGTGCTCACTGCCCAGTGGGTAAACGTGGGTTGGGGCCAGCCACGTGGGGAGAGGCTGTGCCAGCACCCAGGACAGAAGCAGCCACGTCCCTGACAGCAGGACCTCCAAAGACGCAGTGTCCAGGCTGCGGTCAGGCCAGACCCTGCCTGGGTCACTTGGTCACATTTGCTCACTCAGCCTTACGATGACCTCGGAGTGACAAAATGGTTCCTCCGACCTAGTGGGGCTCCTGCCAGGAGTGGGCCCTGGTGGTTGGGACATTCCCTCACACTCAGCTCAGGCTGGAGATGGCTAGAGGCAGCACAGGGCAGCTGAGGCGATGTGGACCAGGCCGGCCCCCAGCCCGTGTCACCAGTAACCTCAGCAATGGCTGTGCGCGGTGGCTGCTCCCTCTACTCCTCCAGCTGGAGGGCGGCCAGCTCCTGCCTGGGGAACTGAGGTTCCCAGCGGGCCTCCCACGGTGGTGTAGGGGAGGGCCTGCAGCCCCCAGGGTCCTGTGAGACTCCTGGCAGAAGGGCTGAGGAGGCCTGGCAGGGGAGAGGCCATCCCTGGACCCGAGGCCTGGGCTGGGATCACGGTTCTGTTCGCGGGGCCGTGGGTGACACACTGAGCCGCTATTTCCAGTTCGTGCTTCTCCAGCGCACCCCACGACCACGCAGCAGCTATGCAGCAGGCCCGGCTCGGGGACACCATCTTGCTGCGGTGCCGGCTGCTGGCTGTGGCCCGGGGCTGCCGGGCTCCTTCTGTCCCACCTCTTGTATCTCTGCAGCCTGGGGCTGGCGGAAGCTGAGGCAGAGGCTGGTGTCCACCCTAGGCCATGGTCTGCTGGTAGGCTCCAAGCCCTCCTCAGAGTGGGAGAGCAGAGACTATCACCCCTCAGAGGAGGCAGGACAAGGTCCATCCTCTGCCCTTGCTGTGCCGGACAAAGCAGTGCTGTGGGGCAGCGCCCGCCCGGCTCTTCCCAGTCTCCACGAGGGCCTTTCCTGGACAGCCTCACCAGGGCCTGGCGAGCGGCCACGCAGCCTCACGTGCCCTCCATTTCCCTCTCCAGACCTCCGCCCACCCCGGCCGGCCCACCCCGGCCAGGCTAGAGTGCTCCTGGGGTGTCTGCTCAGTGCCTAGGACCAGCTGGGACTCAGAAAAGCTGGCTCTTGGCGCTTCTGCTCCTCCCCTGCAAGACAGAAGTGGGGAGACCTGCCCCATGCTGCGGGGGCACTTGCAGATGAGCCATCTGTAGAGAACACACGTGAAGGGGGCACGAGCCTGGTGACAGTGGGTGTGCGGGACAGCAAGTTCCGGGGAGCCGGGCGGGGCAAGGGTGGTCGGCCTCGTCCTGCTGCCTGGGCCTGGGGGAAGCCCAGGACACCCAGCGGCAGGTCCTGGGCCCTGGCACCTGCCCAGCTCAGGAGCTGCTAAGCCCCAGGGCAGACGGGCCCACCAGCCGGCGCCAGCAGGAGTGCAGGTGCGGGGAACGGGACTTACGGACTCGAGATCAACGGTTTATTGATTTTTCTAGAGTACTATACACTGACAGGAACTCCTAACTGCAACGACGTGACAATTTTTGGTACATCTGTAGCACAGGAACGAGGCTCTGCTGGTGCATTTCCGTGAGACATACTCGCCCTTCCCAAGCAAGACGCCGAGCTCCCTGGGAACGCCGAGTAACTGCATAGCTTGTGACGGGGGCGGGAAAGTGCCCGCTTGCACTTATACAGCATCGAGGCCTCTGGCCCCCTCCAGCTCCCGCTGCCCACCTGGGCAACCCGTGTAGCTCTGGCCTCGGCATCCCTGCTCCCAGAGGCTGGAGGACACTCAGGGAGACCCGCTGCCATCTGCTCATGAGGAACAGGGACGGCTGTGAAATCTGTGACTGCTGCTGAAACAGGCATTCTGACAGCGCCTGGCCGTGAGCCAGGGCTACGGCTGGGCAGTCGCCGGGGGCCTACGGCGGGCCAGTCGCCGGAGCCAGTGCTGGCTGGCCCGGTCCCCGTCCACGGCTGGGAGAAGGCCAGCCTTCCAGCCAGGCCTGGGCCTGAAGGCCACGAACTTCACATAGTAAATCTCATTCAACAGTAGATGAGCGCTTGAGATTCTCTGAATATCAAATGATACACAGACACACACCAGGACGTGACATAAAGCATCTCGGGCTACAGATGCATTTGCTTGGAAAGTTAGTCTCACCTTTTAACCTTTCAAATCACTGATACAATGGTTAATTTGCAAAAGAGTAAAGTTTTAAGCAAGAATAGAGTGAAAATAGTTTTTGAATATGGCGACTTTGGGGACTACTAAGGAAGGTTATTTCCAAAACTGACACTCAGCGGCCCGGATGCATAGTGTTCCCTACAGGAACCCAGCCCCGCGGTGTCCCAGCACTCCTGCCACCCGCCCCAGTGCCACCTGTCGACGGGAGCTACATGGCTCTCAGCTGCCTGCCAGTCTCAGCACACCGGTTAACAGGACACGTGGAAGGAGAGACGGCCTTTCCTCGAGACTGGGTCTCCCACTGGGCCATAATTTAAGGGTGAGTGGGAGAACAGGGATATAAAAAAGTATAACTGTACATATGCTTTAAATTAAAACCTCAAAATCTCCGCTCAGATAATGGCATGGCGATTTGTTCACGGAAGGTGCAGGTGGCGGGACTGGCAGGGAGAGGAATCAGTGACAGAACCTGCAAGACCGCCCTCGGCCCAGAGGCGGGCGGGCGAGGTCAGGGACGTACAGGCCCAGGACCGGCCCATGCGGCCCCGTCTCCCGGTGCTCTCTGCGGCTGCACTAGCGAGCGTGCCGAGTCCCAGCTCCTCCGCCTGCGAGGGACGCCGGGGGGCCGAGAGCACGGGTCCACCATCTTTCAGAGGAAAAGGAGTGGCTGCCACGCGGCGGCTGTGGGCTGACAGTGCTTCTGGGCCGCAGCCGCCCCCCGCCTGCCTGCCCGGCAGCTGTCACTGGATGGCCTCGACGTAGTTTGCTGGGTACAGGCCGACCTGCCCGTTGTCCAAGCGTCCCTTGCACCAGCCCTGCTCGTCCTCGTCCTCTATCTTGGTCAGCTCATCCCCTGCAAGATAAAGAGGGAGGGATCCTGGTGAGGGGGTGAGCAGGCTGGTGTCACCAGCCACATGGGAGCGCCACCCATATACCGGGGCCCGTGCTAGGACGTGCTTTCGTGCCAGAGGGGCTCTGCCTTGGGCGGACAGGCGGGCAGGCTTCCTCCAAGGGCAGCCGGGGCCTGGCTACTTCCTTCTCAACCGCCCTTTAAGCTGCTTCTTCACTTGCGGGGTCCCCGAGATCTGAAGGCCAACAGCCCCACACAGTGACCTGAAGGCGAGTGGCCCTTGGCCCACAAGGTGGCTCCCAGGCTCAGTATTGCAGGCCTCGCCTGGGCCAGGTCAGAGGATTCCTGTCACAGGCCGAGGCCCGCTCCCTCACAGCCCAGACCCAGCACACGCCGTGGGGTCGGGGCCCACTCCCTCACCACCCAGGTCCAGAGCACGCTGCAGGGTCGGGGCCCGCTTCCTCACCGCCCACGCCCACTGCACGCCTCGGGGTCGGGCCTGCTCCCTCACGGCCCAGGCCCAGAGCACGCTGCAGGGTCGGGGCCAGCTCCCTCAGTCCAGGCCCAGTGCACGCCGTGGGGTCGGGGCCCGCTCCCCTCACTGCCCAGGCCCAGTGCACGCCTTCATGCTGGGCTCCCCATGTCTTCGCTGATCCCTCGCCTCTGTCAGACTCCGGGGGGCGGCACACATCTGGCCACTGCAGCCATCCTTCTGTCCCCTGCACCTGGCCCAGAGCTCGTGTAAGATGACATCTGTCCACCCCTCGTGACACTCTGCGACAGAAGCTCTGGCACAGCACAAGCCTCCTGGGGCTGTGACGGTGTGGGTGAGGGTGACTGATCTCTGCTTGGACTTGAAGGGGCCTGTGCTGCAGCCCAGGCTCGGGTGGAAGAGGAGACACGGAGAGGAGGGGGCCACGTGAGGCTGCCCCCAAGGGGACAGGCTGGGAGACAGGAGCAAAGGGTGAGCAGGGAAGTGACGGGGTGAGGAGAGCCAGGGCGGCGAGGAGCCGTGTGCTTCTGGCTGGTAAGTAACGCGGGGCAGGCCGGGGGCGCCAGCTCAGCCCTCGGGAGAAGCCACAGGGAGCTGGGCCTGACAGTCCCCGCGTGGCCCGTTCTCACTGCGACGTTCACAGTTCTCTGTCTCTCTTTGGCTTGTGGTCCATTTTCAGAATTAGCTGCGACTTGTCCCCAGGCAATCATGCCATTTTTGTTCTGTGTGGCAGCAACAGTGGCCGAGACACCCATGAGGCCAGTGCCCGGGACTGCCTGGCTCCAAGCCCAGAGCTGGCGCTCATAGCTAGACAGCTGGGTGAGGCTCTGCTGCTGGGGCCTGCTGCCCTCGCCCAGGGGCGTCACGGCACCAACAGGCCCTGGGCGGGGCGTGGCATGCAGCAGGCACAGACCACGTGCGCTGCACCACTCCCCTTAGACCGGCCCCTCCTGTCCCCACCAGGCACCCCGTCAACTCCGGCTTTCCTGCACGTCTGACTCAGGAGCACCAGACGCACACGCAGGGCTATAGGGTTGGCCGCCACGCCGGACCGCCGGACCGCCAGCTCCCCACCCCTTCTCGCCCCGCAGGCCCCGGCACTCCTGTCATCCTGCCCTTGCAGGCTGCTGCCTCCAGGCTGAGCGCCAGGCTGCAGAGGCGAAGGACAAGGCTCAGATCAGGCCGTGTGATGCCGCCATGTGGTAGCACGCATTCCGGGGAGGGCTCCGTGAGCAGCCGGGACCAGAGCTGCTGGGGAGCAGGTGAGGAGAGCGGGCCGGGAGCCCGTTTTATACTGTAAGAAAGCAACGACCAGGGCTGGCAGGTGGTGTGGCGGTTACGGTGCTGGATCCCACGTGGCTGGCTCAGTGGCTTGAGTCCTGGATCCAGCAGCTGAAGAACCACGCCAGGTGAGTGTGCGTGTGCCCAAACTCCTGAGAGAACGGAGAAGGGAGCGGCGTGGCCGTCCGCTTTTCCCTCTCGGTCTCCAGGAAGCACACATGCCCTATAACAAAAACTTAAAAAAAGAAAAAAAAAAAAAAGTAGCAGAGAAAACAGATGGACAGACACGGACACTTTCCGGGCGTAAAACGTGAACTGTCAACCAACGTGTCAGTCAATCAGTTTGCTCTTGACACTACCTGGGGCTGGAGGAACCTCTGAAATCTCTAAAATTGCTGTCAAACCCAATAGCAGGTAACACCGAAGACTTAGGAACTAACAGCACATGTGTCAGGCTAGCCCTCAGCCTAGCCGTTACGGGAGCCGGGTCCTACAGGACCGAGTCCTGGCCCCAGAGCTTGAAAACCACGCCGGATGCGTATGCATGCCCGACGTCCTGACGGGACAGATGGAGGAGGAGGGACTGCAGCACGGCCACTCCCTGCTGCGGGTGCTTCTTCCTCTTTCTCGGCGTCTGCCCAGTAGACATGTCTCCCAGCAACTAAGAAAACCCCAAATACATCAACAAAGTAGGGGTTACAACTCCCAACCAGAGCTACCAGAAAACTGGATGAAGATGGTTTATAAGAATATAAAAAAATTGGGACCAGCAGTTGGCGTAATGGCTATGTCACTGGACTCCCATGTAGTCGACCGCGATTCGAGTCCTGGACCCAGTGGCTTAAACTCACGCCGGCACATGTGCGTGCATGCCCAAGATCCTGAGAGGAGAATGGAGAAGGGATTGCGGTGTGGCCATCCTCCCTGGGGGTGATTTCTCGCTTTCTGTCTCTCTGTCTCTCTGTCTTTCTGGCCTATAGCAAAAACCTCTCCAAAAAAAAATATATAAAAAAATTTGAAACCTGGCCAAAGACACGTGAGGACTCTGGGGACAGCGAGGACAGCTGGCTGCACTGCAGAGTCCGAGGGGAGAAGGCTGACTTTGGGCAGAGTTCCCTGAGCCCCCATCCATGGGGAGGGGATGGGCAGGCATGCACTTCAGCCTATCCCTGCGTCTGGCCTGCACTCCTTCTTCTTAAGAGGGCAGAGGCTGGTCCTGGGTGGCTGCAGGGAGGGGCAAGGCAGAAGAAACAACTTGGCTCCTGGGGGCCTGCCTTGGTCCCAGGTAGCCTCAGCCTCCTCAGTCAGGCTCTGAAAAGGGCTTTTCAGCCTGAGCTTGCTGCCCGTTTTGGTGAACTGCAACCAGCATTTGAAAATAAAGAAAAAAGAAGAAAAAGACACAGGGCGGAAGATGTCTCCAGGCAGCACTGGGACCCTGGGACTGGCTCCTGGGGCTGCAGGGCTACTAGGTGGGGGGCACCTGGAAGGATCAGTCCTGCTGTTCCCAACGCAGCCCAGTGACGGCTCCCAGGCTTCCACACCAAACATCTGCTTACTGCTGAAAGCGGCAGGGCGGGGGAGGCCCCACAGCGAGCAGGGGCTTCAGCACAGCTGATGCACAGCAAACCGCCATTGTCCTGGGCGGCCCCGGGGCCACCTACCAGCCTTGAAGCTCAGCTCGTCATGCTCCTGCCCCTCGTAGTCATAAAGGGCCCGGACTCGCACTTCCGTCCCCGAGGTGGTGTCCTCGTCAAAGGGGTTGGAGTCGCCGTTGGCATCCGTGGAGGAGAAAGGGTTGTTGGACTCGTCGTCTGACCAGTCGGTGGGGTAGCTCAGGGTCTTCTCGTAGCTGCTCACGCTGTAAGACAAGGGGCGGCACGAGCTAGGTAAGGGCTGGCAGAGGGCACAGGCCCCACCCAGAGCCTCCCGGAGGGCGCGGCAGCCCTCAGGCTCCTTCCGAAGGAACCTAGTGTGCCGGATGGAGCCCGTCCCGGCGAAAATCCACGCCACTCACACTCGTCCCAGGCCACCAGCAGGTGGGCGGAAGATGCCCCGTGCCGGCGCCCCACAGAGGCAGACCTGGGGGCCCGTTTGCCTGCTTTCCTATGGTGGTGCTGGGGCCTGAGAGGTTAATGAAAGACAGAGAAAGCGACTAAGACTGTTAGCTGGGTCCTCCCCGAGAAACCGGGATGCGGGGGAGTGGCCTCTGGGCAGAGAGAGGGGAGGAGAGAGACGCAGAGCAGCGAGGAGGAGACCAGAGGAAGCGTGTGTTCACCAACGTTTTGGGCTTAATGTCCTCCTTCTCACTGACGGTGCTGCCCGTGTCGTCCTCGTCCTCGAAGGGGTTGTAGCTGGACTGTGACTGCGCGGACTGGGTGGAGTTGCTCGGGACACTAAGATTGCTATGGGGAGAGAGAGCTGTCAGGGCCCGCTCGACGGAGGCCCGCCGAGGGTCCTGGGCACTCCAGCTGCCGGGTCTCAGGGATAAGCCAGCTCCTAGCTGACACGAGCAGGGCCACGTCATTTGAGCAGAAAGGTTATTTTCAGCAAAACCCATAGCAGTACTTTAGCTGTGACACACACCAGGGCCAGCCTGTCGCCTCATGGTGAGAGGAGTCAGATTCCATGTAGCTGACCACCAGGCCCTGGCGGCTTGAAAAATATGCCAGGTGGGGATAGCAGGTGGCGTGGCAGTTATGACGCTGGACTTTCAGGTGACCAACTAGTTTGAATTCCAGACCAGGAGGCTTGAAAATCATGCCAGGTGTGTGCATGCATGCCTAAAAACCTTGAAGGAGAAGGGATTGTGGCATGGCCATCCCCCCTGCAGACTCTTGCCCACTCTCCCTCTCTCTGGCTCTCTCATGAGTGCACCCACCCAATGGCAAACACAAAACATGCCAGGTGTGTGAGTGCACGTCCCTGACGTCCCGACAGGATGCAGAATGGAGAAGGGACTGTGGTGTGACCGTGCCCACTGGGGGTGCCTTCTCCTTCGCCCTCTTTTTCTGTCTTTCTCTGATGAGTGGATGTGCCCGCTGGCAATTAAAAAAGAAAAAAAAGTGACTAAGAACATAATTCCTGTTTTCCTTCCTCATCTGAAGACTGAGGATGCAGAGCAGGGGCCCTGGGTGGGGGCAATGGGCCGTGGCTGCAAGAGAGCTCGCTGGGTGGGAGAGCCCAGGAGGGCCTGGGACAGCAGGTCTGCTGGGCAGCAGGGGGGCCAGGGCACCTCAGTGGCTGACTCCTCCTCTTCCTGAGACTGGAGCTTTTAAAACCAGGGCCGCACAGCCCTCTCTGGGTGGAGAGAGTCCCTGAGCCCCAGGAAGAAAACCTGTCCCCAGCTCTGCTGACCCCCTGCTGTGCACAGGCTGAGCGGAGCTGAGGACCCAGTCAGGCCCTGCCCATGGGCTGGGAGCGGGGGCACGGAGGGGCTGCAGAGGCTGAGCTTGTGAAGCCATGACAGGAGAGTAAAGAAACAGATAGGCCAGAGGACGCTGGCACCAGGTAATAGCCCATGGCCCGGCTTCCCGCCACCAGCACCGCCCCCAGCACCACTCCTGTCTCCAACTCTGTGAGATCCACTGCCACAGGGCTGAGGGCCACGAGGGGACCCCTCAAACGCCACCAGAGTGACAGTGAGGGGCCAGCGACTGCTCCGCGGGCTTCAGCCCAGCAAGGGGCCCTGGCCTGGGCCTGCTGGCTGCTGACATCCAGCACCCTCACTCAGCACCTTTCTCCAGTGACGTGGGCGTGCGTGCGTGTGCGCATGTGCGTGTGCACGTCGGGTGGTCCTGGGCAGTGGAATCCGGGCAGCAGCCCCGGCCAGCCTATAGCCCCAGGGTGTCTTCTGAGGCAGCATCTCAGCCTTCCCACCCTGTCCTGGGCACGTGGCAGCTGAGTGACTATGGGCCACACCTGCCCGGGGAGTCTGGGGTACAGGAAGGCCAGGACAACCCGCTGAGCCCCCGTGGGAAGCCCCTATCACAATGCTATTACTGAGCGTGGAATGGAGGCCTCTGGACACGTCTGGTGGAAAGGTCCCCCAACATGCACATTCCAGAAGGTTCCTATGACCTTGGTGCCAGCTCTTCTATCCATAACCCAACTTGACTATGTCAAATAGCCCACGCCCTCAGCAGGCTCATTTCTCAGGGGCTCCCTGACAGTCCTCTCTCACCCTCCCTTGGTGGGTGCCTGCACACACCCAGGGGTCCTGGCAGCTCTTGAACCTCAGGGTCCCTGAGCACAGGGTGGCGCCACCATCGAGGACAGAGGACCAGCCCTGACATCAGCACCTCCCCTCACTCGGGCCCAAAGCACAGGTGCCCCCTGGCTCTTTCAACAGCTCTGTTACCAGGTGGGAAGATGACCCTTAGGAGCCCAGGAGCTTCGGGAAAGATGCCTGGGCCTGCACCATGGCAGTCCAAGCGGGGCCCTCCTCAGTCACCCCTGGGCTGAGGGCCGTGTCCCCTCACCTGCTGGGCTTGTTCTGCAGAGACTGGTCGCCTGTCTGGCTGATGCCTGTCAGGGTGACACCGTCGCTGGCCTTCTTCTTCTCTCTCCGACTGAGCGTTCGGTTCAGGTCTGCAGACCACTCCTGGGCACCAGGCACCACGGGAGAAATCAGGGGCCTCGTTAGGGGAGGCCACACCCATCTAGGACACGGGCCCACGAGTCTTCTGCCCTGGGCGGTGAGGCCTCTCCTCTCCTCAGTTCCCAGCAGGCCTTGGGCCCTCCGAGGCCCATCTATGGACCCACACCACGTGAACCCTCCTCCCTGTGCACAGTGGGCTTCCTCAGGGGCTGGGGTCGTGCTGTCACACTGCCCACCCGCCACCACCACCACCCCCTCACCTGTGGCAACCCCTCTCAGGAAGAGCAGGCTTCTAGGACAGGCGGGGATGACAGCCCTGCCCCAACCCCGCCCCGCCCTTCACAGCTCTCAGCCTCCAGCCTCCCCAGGCCAGCGTGGCCTCCAGTGCCTCAAGTGGCCTCCTCATGTGTCCCTGGAGACTCCCAAAGTGACAGGAGCCAGCCCTCTGCACTCTGCAAAGCCAGGACTTGTCCTGAGATGGCACAGACCTTCCTGGCTTAAGCCCTGCTCTCTGGGTCACAGGGTCAAGATGGTGGCTGTGGGGATGGAGCAAGCCTGCAGGCAGGAAGTGAACCCTGCACTGCAAGGGAAGCAGGTACTGGTAGCTCTACATGACGAAAGGGACAGGAAGGGACTCCTGGGGCCTGCCCTGTCTGCCACCACGGGACCTTCCCTTTAACTGGAGTGACATGCTGGGGCTGGTGGCAAAGCAAAATGTTCACGCCCACAGAACCGACCATTTCCGAGCCGTGACGGGCTTTCGCCCACCACAGTGGACACAGGGAGCGGGGAGGAGGGCTAGTCTCGGTTTCCAGAAAAGCGCCCGTGTGTGTATGCATGCACTGCGCATCCCTACGTGAGTGCACGTGTGCACACACACGCACACATTTAAAAACTCTCCGGCCCCTCCCGCCTCTCCTTGGTACCCAACACCGACCACGGTTCTGCTCACAGTGACGGAGCCGCGGTGCATCTGCCACCTTAGCGACATCACGTCTGGCCTGCAGACTGGTCAGATGGGAACCAAGGCCAGAGAGGAAAAGCGACTTGTCCGTACAGAGCAGGTGCAGACCTGGGCCCTGATTCCAAAGCCAAGTCACCGCTTCCTCTACTAGTGACGGAGAACTCGGCTGGAACCTCCGATACCCCTGCCCATAGTGACCTCGGACTCAAGCCCATCCTGCTCAGGCGGCCTCCCGGCTGACTCAGGAGGGGCAGGCTGGCTGCCAACGACCCTGCCAGGCAGAGCGCTGCCTGAGCTGCCCGAGCCAGGCCGGGGACCACCACACATGGACCCGTGTGGACGAGAGACACGACGCGGGGTTTGCACTCAGTGAGACAGCCATAAAATAGACACTTACTTCATCCTCGTGGCATGGAAAACAAAACAAACGACCTCATTAGAGAAAGTCAGGCAAGGCCTTGACGGCCGCAATCGTGAGCCCAAGTGCCGGTGCCATGTGGGCCAACGGAGAGAAGGCACCGTGGGCTCTGGCCGGGTGCCCGCCCTGGAGCCCTGTCCCCTGCCTGGGTACTAATGGGCACCTCTAAAGGGCCCGGGCGCATTTGACAGTGACCTGCCATGCCAGGGAGAAGCCACAACCTCCCGCCACCACCCCCCCCATGGAGCTGTGCACAGATGCGTCTCCTCCCGGCGCTGTTGCCAGGGTGGCTGCCAGGCCCATGACTTTCTCGTGGCACCTCTGGGGAAGGGGCACCGCCTGCCCGGCAGCTCTGCTGGGAGCCAGCCCTAAGGGCACACAGGGAGAGCCCAACTGCAGGGACCCGACAGTCACATGGAGCCAGCTTCTTGGGAAGGTGCAGAGGGCTGCAGTATGGGTGTGTGGACCGACAAAACCATAGCTAAGAAGGGGGCTGGGGGCTTGTGTTGGGTGGGCTTGGACGGGCAAGGACCCACAAGGCACTGATCGGCAGCTGGGCCCAGGAGCCAGCAGAACACAGACCTGTTCGCGGCAGCCCGGCACTCCGGGATGGGAGTGGCTGTCATTCCCATTTCATATGGGGAAACTGAGTCACTAAAAGGACAGGTGGTAGTCAGCACCCCACGCTGGTACCAGGTCTGAATGCTGCCCAGCTCAGGCCATGAGTCAGGTGGAGCCACTGCGGCCATGCCTAGGGCATCCCCCAAGGGGCAGCTTGGCCAGCCTGTGGAGCTATTCCCAGCCACCGCCCGGGCAGCTGCTGCCCAGTGCTTCACCTGTGTCCCAAAGTCCCTCCTGCAGGGAGCAGAGCAGCAGGACTGCTGGCCACTGCCTTCTAAGTTGCTCGAGGCCAGGTGGGGCCTGGTGACTCACTCCTAGGGCTGGAGGAGCCCCAAGATGCCTCACGTTTCAATGTAAAGGCTGGGGGAGGCCTGGACCCCAACATGGGACACGAGGAATGTTCGTCCTGCACCAGGACTCACTGCATTCAAGGGAGAAGTACAGGAAGGGCCTAGAGGCCCACTGTGTGGCCGGGGACGCTGGGCTGCGTCCCTCCTGGCCATGCCTCAGGGTATGTGTCCTGCAGCTCCTGGGAAGGAAATGCCAATGGTCAGGAAGTTACAGTGCAACGTTCCCAATGGAAAGGGGAAGGCGGCACTTTGCTGAGACTCTTGGGCGGTGTCACGATGCCTGAGGCCTGGTCTTGAAGCATCGCCTGGCACGGGCAGTAGCTATTCTACCACAAAGGCCGACTCGAATGCTGGGCAATGCTGGCAGTCAGCCAGGAAGGCACCGTGCATCTCCACTCTGGGCCCAGGTCCCCTCCAGGTCGATGGGGTCATAGGTGCGTACCCGTGGCTTACCTCAAATTGCGGCCAGTTCATGGCCATGCCCGGCCCGTGGTTGGCCCTGAACCACCGCAGGTCCTCCACCGCATCGGCTGCTTTGATGCTCTGCTCCAGGTCGCGGTAGATGGTTTTGTAGCTGGATGGGAGAGAGACAGGCACTGTGGGTGGCAGGGATTGGCGCCATTCACCCCTGCGGGCCGTGGTGTCTGCAGCCGCATCAGAGCCCACGTCAGAGGCTTAAAACTCACACCAGCGCGTGTGCGTGTGTGCCCAAGATCTCGAGAGGAGAACAGAGGAGAAGGGATTGTGGCGTGGCCATCCCTCCTGGAGGGTGATTTCTCGCTTTCTGTCTCTCTGTCTCTCTCTGTCTGTCTGGCGAGCGCACGCGCCCTATAGCAAAAACCTCTAAAAAAAAAAAAAAAGAAGAAGAAGAAGAAGCTACATCAAAGTCTAACCCTGCAGCTTACTTGGAAAGGGGGACTTTACAGAGGGACTGTAAGAATGAGGCCGTTTGGGCGGGCCTCAATCCAATACAACTGGAGTCCTTACACAAAGGGAGTGCGGACTCAGAGACAGTCACGTAGCAAGCAGAGGCTAGGGGGCCAGAGTGATGAGGCCACAAGCCGGGGACTGCCACAAACACCCCGTGCTGGCCAAGGCAGGAGGCAGAGGAGATGGCCCTACCACACCTTGATCTGGGCCTCCAGATCATGAGAGGAACTGTGTGCTGTTGTGAGTCCCCAGATTTTGGGACTAAATTAGAGCAGCCCTAGGACATGGCCACACTAATCACTTCCTGGGGGGCGTGGAAAACTGAGACATGCATGTAGAGTCCGGCCTGCAGCCCGAGGATGGTCACACAGCAGGACTTTCACAGAGGAGCCGGCCTCCAGCCCAGCACCAGCCCCGGCCAGCCTGCACCACGGGCAGGCCACTTAACCTCACCCAGCCTTGGTTTCCTCATCACCAACACTGGCAAGTGCCACCCCCGTGAGACTGGCGTGAAGCTAACCCTGGGGAGCAGTACAGCTGTGCAGAGGCCGCCACCGCTAAAGCCCTAGGACATGGCCACACTAATCACTTCCCCAGGGGCGTGGAAAACTGAGACACGCATGCAGAGTCCGGCCTGCAGCCTGAGGATGGTCACACAGCAGGACTTTCACAGAGGAGCCGGCCTCCAGCCCAGCACCAGCCCCGGCCAGCCTGCACCACGGGCAGGCCACTTAACCTCACCCAGCCTTGGTTTCCTCATCACCAACACTGGCAAGTGCCACCCCCGTGAGACTGGCGTGAAGCTAACCCTGGGGAGCAGTACAGCTGTGCAGAGGCCGCCACCGCTAATGATCTCCCTTTCTTTTTGAGAGGTTTTTGTCGTAGGGCATGTGCGCTTGCCAGAGAAAGACGGAGAAAGTGAGAAATCGTCCCCCAGGGGGATGGCCATGCCCCAATCCCTTCTCCACTCTCCTCTCGGGATTTTGGGCATGTGTGCACACACGCACTTGGTGTGATTTTCAAGCCGCCAGGTCCAGGATTTGAACTGCAGTCAGCCATGTGGGATCCAGCACCTTAGCCACCATACCCAGCCTCTGCTTCTGACTTTTCACAGGAGACAGGGAACTCATCTCCTCTCAACGAGCTCTGCCAGTGGTCCGTTTCTCAGCTCTGCCAGGTGGGTGACAGAAGCCCATGCCCTCGGTCACCTGGGCCCCTGACCTGGTAAGGCATCGCAGGACCAGAGGCGAGGAGAGCACAGGAGAATTGCCACAGCTCCTGTCCCGAAGGGCCTGCTGCCCCAGGGGCCTAGAGCCACTGCCAGGTCAAGGCCTGAGCTGACACAAGCTGCTCTGGACGCAAGGACCTCACCCAAGGCCTCGGAGGAAGCCCACGCTGGAGCCAGGACATGCCAGCCTGGGAAACGCTGGCCTCGTCCGGGATCAGTTTTGAATCTGCGCTGGTCTCAGCTGTGGCCCCAGAATGGGGGCCTCCCGCTTGCCCAGACCCAAGAGCGAGACCTGCCTCGTGTGCCTGGCCCATGACCAGCTGTCCCAGCCAGGTCTTCCTCTTGCAGGCAGCGGGACTCGGCCCTGGCCGGCACCCCTGCAGCTGCAGACGGGCTCGGCAGAGGGCCCCACCTGGCGTCTGGATCACAGAACAGCGGGAGATCTGTGGCTACAAGAACACTGGATTGGCCCTGCCACCCTGCTGCAGGGCAGCCGTTTTACTCCATGTGACTTCCCATCAGACGCTGTCGTGTCTGCCAGCCCCAGGGACACATACCTGGCCACGTTGGACAGGTCCAGGTGCTTCTGGACCTCCAGCAGAACCTCCCGGAAGAAGCGCAGGCGCTTCTCCTCGAACTGCTGGCACTGCTCGAACACCTGCTCCATGTTCTCCATGTACTGGGGGGTGCTCTGGTCCAGCTCCTTCAGGGCCTTCTCGTACTTCTCTCTGGTCTAAACAACAAAGACAGACGAGCATTTCCATCTGACACCCGACCACATCCGTCCCTGGGGCTGCTCAGGACTCACCAGCTTCCAGGACCCTGAGCGCACGTGCTCCAGAGCCTGACAGGCTTCGAGTCTCGGTGCCTGCCCTGCCGAAGGGAGCAAGGCCCAGGCAGGAGAGCGGTCACGGGCGGAGCTCAGAGCTCAGTGCTCAGCCCTGAGCACGTCGCATGCCTGCGTCCTCTTCCTGTCACCCTCAAGCTTTGGCCAGGAGTCGGATCCTCGAGCTTTCTCCTATTTTCTTAGAATTTCACTTTCCTCACCAGAAAATAGGGACTTTTTTTTTTGTAGAGGTTTTTGCTATAGGGCACATGCGCTCTCTAGAAAGATAGAGACAGAGAGACAGAAAGCGAGAAATCACCCGCCATGGGGGATGGCCACGCCGCAATCCCTTCTCCCTTCTCTTCTTGGGATCTTGGGCACACATGCACATGCCCGGTGTGAGTTTAAGCCACTGGGTCTGGGACTTGAACCGCAGTCGACTATGTGGGAGTCCTGTGACATAGCCATTACACCAACTGTAGGTCCCGAAAATGGGGGCCCTTTCTGTGCCATCATGTTCTGAGACTCAACGTTGGCTTGGAGTTGCATGAAGCAGCCATTCAACAGGCTGACCACAGTTGCTCCCTGGGGGAGGTGAGGGGTGGCAGGGCTGGGTCGTCTACTTATTCCGAATCTTCCCATTACTGAGGCATTGAGAAATGGGGGACCCCACAGGAACTGAGTGTCTGTCCCTGACAGCACATGCAGGCCCTTCTGTGGAAGGGCAGAGGCCCTGAGCTGCGCCAGCCTCTGGAGCACCTCCTCTGCCCATCCCCAGACCCCAAGCCCACCCCGCCAGCTGCCGCCCTTCCTGGACTCATGCCCTGGAAACCCCTCTCTGCTCCAGAGACCCTTCTCCCTTAAGCTTTCCCCTCCCTTAAGCCCAGGGGCCCCTGCCCCTCTCCTGGCATTCTGGTCCCTTGTCCTGCTCACAAGCCTCCTGAGATGATCAGGCTTGGGCTTCATGACCACAGGACAAGGTCATCCCTGCCCAGACAGGGGCACCCGCAGCAGGAACAGAGTCCCATGACCACGTGGTCCTCACCACAGTTGGCAATGCTGCCCGTGACACAGCTGTGGGCTGAACGCCCAGCATCGGGGTCTCCAGAAGAGCGACCAGAGCAACGTGCTCTCAGGAGCCTCCTGAGAGAACTTGGGGTGCCCCGTGGTACTCTTGCTCTGCCTCAGGCTCCCCTGCCTGAGATGGCGCTGAGCCCAGGGCCCTGTCCCAGGCACAGGTCTGGTGGGCATTCACAGAGTGAACAAGGGGGGCTGTTGCCCTCCCTGGACTGTACAGTCAGTGCTGAATACAGGAAGCTCCCCCACTGCCCGGCCGGCAAGGACAGGAAGGCCAGAGGGTCCAGGTGGGCCAGGCAGTGCTGGGTTTGGGAACCTGCTTCCAGGAGGTTGGGAGTGGTGGTGCTGTGCTCCCCTGCAGGACCGAAGCCCACCAGGACCACTCGTGCCCTGAGGGCACCAGCCAGCCGAGAAGCGGGCAGGCGCCAGGAGGGACTCAATGCAAAGCACCCTCAGCCCGATAGATGCTGGCTGCCCTCTGCCCCGGGCCTGCTCTGCACAGGTATTGCTGCAGTGGCCTCTCCCTGGGCGGCTATCAGGCGTGAGGGGCGGGTCTCTCTCTCACGTGTGCCTGTGCCAAACGTGGGGACGATCATCTTTTCTCCCAGCAGCTTCCCGGGTTCCTGGTTCCCTGGGATTCTGACTCAGGCCTCATAGTCCGTGGGCCTGCTCTCGAGCCCGGGTGCCCTCCAATTCAGCTCCAGTTCCTCCCCAGTCCAGCAGTGGGCACCTGGCCCCAAGGGACACGGACGCACGCTGAGTGGCGACCTCTCCCGTAGATGACGCTTCCCCAGCTATGCTGATGAGAATGGCCAGGAAGGAGGAGGGGGGTGGCTTGGGGGTCAGGAGGCCCTCTGCCCTCACTTCCTTGGTGTCCGAGTTCACAGAGAGGGTGGCCACCCCTGATTTATCGAGAGGCACAGCGACCTCATGTGCCCCAGGAAGGTCAGCGGGGACAAGTAATCAGACCAGAATTCTCGCTCCCCCCTCCGGCCTTGCGTCAGGTCCTGGGGCACAGCCCCGTTCTCACTCCTTTCCACCTCTTTCTGCAAACCCAACTGGGAACCCCTTCTCCGTATCCGAGCAGGACAGGGCCGCGGCAGCGACACCTCTAACCCAGGTGGCAAAGTGCAGGCACACTGAACCTGCACCCTTCAACACAGGGCCACCTGGCAGGTGCTGTGACCTTTCAACAGAGCAAAGGTGGAGCTGAAGCCCGGGGTCAAGCCCCTCACTTCCTGGCGGCTCCCAAGTTACTCCCTGGCAGAACTGCCACCTATCTGTGTGGACGCTTCGCTGTAGGGCGTGCTACCTCAGAGCGTCTCATCTGCTCTCCTCACTAACCCACTGGGGCAGGTGACTCCCCTCGCAGCAGAGGATGGGCACCCGGGATGCCATGCTGCGTGTGGCCCGTGTCTTTGGGGCCTCACTGCCAAGGCTGCAAGACAGCTCTGTCCCCTCCTGGGCCCACTTCCCTGTGATCTGAGTGCACTGGGATTCCCAGCCACGCTCTCCCACCTGGAGACCCTTGGTTGGTCTCCACTGCCCAGCCACGCTCTCCCACCTGCCCTCGGCCGGACTCTGCCCACCACAGCAGCATCCCAAGCTCCTCACTCAGCCTGCTGTCTAGGCCATGGGCGATCTGGTCCTAGTAACCCTCCACAGCAGATTTTGTGTCATTTCCTGCCATGGACCACATTCATACCTCTGTCTCTTGCAAAGCTGCTCCCTCCCTGGCACTGTCAGCTGTCCTGAGGCTCCCTGGGAAGCTGTCCCATCACTTGCTTTCCTTCTAGAAGCAGTCACCATCCCTCAGCACCCCGCTGAGTTGCTCCTGTGCCCAGGAGGCAGACACAGGGGCCACGGCAGGGCCAGGTGCTGAGGCGCTCACCTGTGGGACTTTCCTGAGGGCAGGGACGTGTTGGATGCTGTTCCTCCCTCTGCTTAGCAGCCTGATCAGTCACATGTCACCATGTGCCAGCACCATGCATGAGTGCCATCCTGACGCACGGCACCTGAACGCCGGGTGGACCCACCTTAAGAACATCTTGCTTGCATTTTTCTATTTTGTCCTGCAGTTTCTTGAGCTGCTCGGGGTTGAGTGACGGATCTGCCTTGCTGTTGGCTTCCCGGGAGATGGCCAGCTTCTCCTCTTTGCATGCTGCGTGGTGGGCTTTCTTCGCCGCTTCTACCTACAGGGGGCAGGAGTTCCTGAATGCCACATTGCGGGAAGGTCGGCATCCTCGTGAGGGTGTGGGGACGTGTGTGCTACCAGGATGGGGGAAAACAGGTGCAGTGCGGGTACTAAAACCGCACACGTTGGCACAGGAGTCCACCGGCAGGTATGCACCAAGGCCGCCGTGCGTCACCTGTGGTCCTCGCACAGGAACATGGCCTAGAGCAAGGCAGACCAGGCGATCATGAAGCTCACATTCTAGCGGGGGGGGCAAGTGCTGAAAGCAGTTTTTTTTTGCTAAGGTAAGTTAGAAGGTGACAAGAATTACGAGGAAATTGAGGCAGTGAAGAGAGACAGTGCCTGGGGTGGGCTGGCAGGTTTGATGTAGAATGGCTGGAGGGGCCAGTGGAGGGGACAGGGAGTGACAGTGTGAAGGGAGCATGGATGAGCACACCAGGCTCATAAGGGAGAACTTTCCGGAGAAGCTGACAGGGGGAGAGGCCTGTGCTGGGGAGGCAGGGCAGGGCCCTCCCACAGTTAGAAGATCTGTCTCTCACACACACGGACACAGGTGTGTGCAGACGGACTTACAGACACGGCCTATTTGAGCCAGAGCCACAGATTCCACTCTAGGGGGAAGAGGAGTTTGCAGTACAGGCGTCCAGAGAGGGGAGAGAGGACCGGGATGAATGGGGACGACGACAAGGAAGAGGAGGAGACGTGGCGAAAGCCAAAATGGGGAGAAATGGAGGAAAGCCTGTTACGCCCAAGACGGGTGTGAGCCAGAGGCCTGGGAGGAAGGAGAGCAGCGTGGCTCCCGAGGAGAGCCGGGAGGGTGGCTGGTGGGGACAGCCGGGCTGCAAGTGGGGCGGAGCACGTTGGCCTCCAGCCAGCCAAGGCCCCACAAGACCCAGTGGCTTTGGTTGCTACTATTAGTTGAAAAGGAACATCAGTATCATTTGCGAATTTGAGAGAGAAACCCATTCAAGAGAAAAAGATGTAATTGGACCCTTAGTCCAGAAGGGATGTTCCCCAGGGGACACACCAGTGGTTAAGACCCGGGACTTCGGGCTCCAGCACCACTGCCAGTTCTGACCCTCAGTGTCCAAATCTGCAAACCGGGCTGGCAGGGACTGGCTAAGTGTGAGGAATGCACAGAGCACTCGGCAGCTCCGCTGGGAACCGGCAGCCACAGGGCTCTGGCCTCGGGCGGCTTTCACTCCCCCCGCCGCGCCCCTGCGTCT